AGGGCTCAGCCGCTGCCTCCGGACCGCGCCAGCCCCAGCTCCTCGCTATGGGCAGGTTCCCGAGGCACAGCCCGATGGAAACGGGTGCAAAGGAGGGGTGCCGAGCAGCAGGGAAACCCTGTGCAGGCAGGACGGGCGTGGGGCAGCCCCCAGGTCCTTCCTCGCGCCGTCTGATCCGACTCAGAGACGAGAGCTGTGCGCGCACGCAGCAAAAACACCAATTTCCTTTCCCTGTTCAGGAACACACTATTTTTTTGCTGCATATGTTTGTAAAAAGATTTTTCTAGACCCTGAAGTCCCCAGCTCTTAAATAGACTGAGGCAGCTGTAACGGCTCCGAGTTAAAATGTCAATTACTTTAACCAGATTATTAGGAAAAACAAAGTCAGTGCGCGAAGTGGCACAGCTGGGCCCCAGGCGCCGGAGCCGACAGTAACAAGGAGTTCTTGTTTGATGAGCCTGACCCTGCTGAGATCCATCAGCAGCCGGGCGAAGCTGTCCCTTCGGAAAGGGAGCGGCCAAAGCCCTGCCGTCGCGCTGGGAGCCAGGCCATCCTGACGCAGCTTTTCACCCACGGGACCATCTCTCAACGTCCGCTGCTGTTAAAAGTCAGCAAGTGGCTGGCTTACGAGAAGCAAAAGGCATCCGAGAGGCTCCGAGCGAGCCACCATCAGCTGTTTACTGCCCCTCCGAAAGGGCAGCTGGCCCTGATGGGGAATTAACTGTTACATAAACAGGATGTGGACTGGGTCGGGGTTTGTGCTGTTCCTGCTCAGCACCTCCACTCCCCTGAGCAGAGAGCTGGGAAACGCCCGAGCAACACCGAACAGCACGGAGAGTTTCTTTAACAAAGGAAGAAGAACAAGGGAAGCAAGGTTTAGTTCCACAAATAGATTAGCTTCCTGCAAACGCTGCCAGAAAGACAGCAGGGTTTTCGTTTAGGTGGCTCTCTGCCCTACGCTTCAGCGAGGTGCGTGTGTCAGATACCAGCAAAAAAAAAAAAAAAAACCGGACCCTGCCTCTTACCTGACATACTTGGAGAGCGGAGGCTTCAGGCTGTGCGTGGTCGAGATCCCTGAGGAAACGTACCTGTCTCTTCTCCTCTCGATCCGGCGCACGTTCACGAAATCCCTAAGCAAAGAAAGGGCGCTGAGTGCTTCAAAATGTGCAGGGGACTTCGAAGGAGCAGATCCTGCTCTCCGGAAAGCTGGGAAAGGCTCTGGCAGAGGTATGTCAACACAGGGACAGAGCACAGTACAGCGCTGCTATCAGCGAGACCGACTGGCTGAGATGGATTTTGAGCTCCGAGACTCCTGCCAGAACCATCTGGAGGAGAATTCAGGGGCTCCCTGCCTTTGGGAGCGTCACCCGTGCAGCCAGCC